CTACTTGGAAGGCTGAGGTGGAAGGATCGCTGGAGCCCAGCAGGTTGAGTCTGCGGTGGCTGGGAGCGGTCACTGCACTCCAGTCTGGGTGACAGAATGAGACTCCAACTCAAAAAATAAGAATAAAAAAATAAAGCAATCTCAAAGGGACTTGCTCACAAGCATCCCTAGAGAAACAGTGGAGCTCTACAAGGATGGTCTACCCAGCAGGCACCTGTCACTGCATTGACTGCTTTGTATTTCCATATTTGCCCGTGCCCATTTGCTTTACTTTGACCTCTAGATTGTAGGGTCCTGGAGAACAGAGCAGGGTCTTCAGAAGATTATCTCCCATGGCACCTATTTGATGGTGATGACCATAAATACAGTATACTAGAAAGAAGAATGGTGGCTTTTACGCATTAGTAATTTCTTATGACAATAAACAGTTTTTTTCTGTCTTCATTCTAGCATAGGTGCCTACGCCGTGATAACACCAAATGAAAACCGGAGAAATCAGACACGAAGAAGTATGTATATTTATTCATTTAGCATTCAGAATGCTTCTCATTTTCCTCATATTTGGTTTGTTTTGGTGTGAAGTATTTTTTTTCTGATGTATATAGATTCACCAAATCTCATCAACTTTTTCTCCCAGCAGTTTTAAGTATACCTTTAAAACTATTTTATTGTTAACACTTCTAAGTTTGTTTCTTTACATTAGTGACAACTCACAGCATGATGGTAAGTCCCGCTCTTCTGTTGAGTTTAAGCAGCTTTACACTATTGCCAATGGACTGACCTCATCCTGTAAAGTTAGGCTGACTGCTCAAATTTTTATGGCACTATGAGTGTTTTAAAAACAGACAAGTTAGCCGGGCTCGGTGGCTCAGCCTGTAATCCTGTGACTTTGGGAGGCTGAGGTGAGTGGATTGCCTGAGCCCGCGGGTTCGAGACCCACCTGGGCAGCGAGACCTCATCTCTACAATAAATCAAAAAATCAGCTGGGTGTGGTAGCGCATGCCTGTAATTCTGGCTACTTGGAAGGCTGAGGCGGAAGGATCGCCAGAGTCCAGCAGGTCGAGGTCGAGGCTGCGGTAGCTGGGAGCGGCCACTGCACTCCAGTCTGGGTGACAGAGTGAGACTCCAACTCAAAAAAAATAAAAAATAAATTAAAAAAATAAGAAAAATAAAATAAAAACAGACAAGTTATGTGCCAAAAAGATCATGAAGTAATTTGTACCTTTCTTGATTTGGGATTTTTCTTTAGCCTCTGTGCTCTGATAATTTTGTAACTCCCAGAGTCAGCTCTTGGCTGTTTTTATTTGTATAGTTTTAGTTTTCTTCTTTGGGTTATAACCTCCTCAAGGACAGGAACCATGTCTTACTCATTTTTGTATTCTTTGTACTTAGTGTGCATATAGCATGTTTAACTGAAGTACAGTAAATATAAATGCTGCCATTGGAAGTTGTTAGCATTATCCTTTAGAGTTGGAAGGAAAGCTACAGTTCATTTAGTTCACGGCATGGTGGTGCATGCCTGTGGTCCCAAGCTAGGTACTCAAATAGGTGCCGTGGGAGATAATCTTCTGAAGACCCTGGTCTGTTCTCCAGGACCCTACAATCTAGGAGTCAAAGTAAAGCAATGGGCATGGGCAAATATGGAAATACAAAGCAGTAGATGCAGTGACAGGTGCTTGCTGGGTAGACTGTCTTTGAGGCTTGCTCAAGTCAAGCTGTGGGACTATACTGACATTCCACTCTCTTCTGTATTAGATAATTGGTGGGAAAATTAACTTTGTGACTACTGATGGACATAAAGGCACAGCATGAAAGAAGCTCTCTTAAGGGTCTCAACCAGACAGGTAGACCCCGGGCTCATACAGTGGGTCAATACAGAACAGGACAATCAGGTCTAGTGGGGAGATTTGGGCAAGTGCTGGAGGAACAGAATTGTAGTCTCTCTGGCGCCCCCTGCTGTCATGCAGGATGAACATTTGGGGAAGGTTCTGGCTAGAGGTCCCCAGTGCCAGGAACCAGGACAGGGGTACATGCCCCATACTTGTCGCTGAGCCCTCACTCCCCAGAATTGCAGTAAGCTTGGGAAACATTTAACATAGATAAACATGGGCATCCCTGGGGACAAAGGTTTACATGTATTTACATAGGAATATTCTAGTTTTCACACATTTTCTATAGGAAACCTTTAAAATTTACTTAGTGTTTTAAGAATGTCAGAATGGGAGGAAAACCTATACTTCCTTATTTTAGTAGGAGTTCATGTTGTTTTTCAAATCTGAACCCTCTGTGCTGACTGACTTTTGGAGAGAAAGTGCCACTGGGCCAGACACAGGGTGACCTCCAATAAATAGGTCAGGGCTGGCAATGTAGCCATGTACTATGCTCACATGTGATTAATCATCATCAAATGGTTTCTTATACCTTTTTTGAGTTGGTGTTACAGGCTGGAGTGTAGTGGAACAATTTTGACTCACTGCAGCCTCAACTTTCTGGATTCAACTGATCATCCCACCTCTGTCTCCTGAGTAGCTTGGGACCACACGCATGCACCACCATGCCTGGCTCATTTTAAAATTTTTTTTGTAGAGGCGGGGGGGGGCTGTCTCACTATGTTACCCAGGCTGGTCTCGAACTCCTGGGCTCAAACAACCCTCCCACCTTGGCCTCCCAAAATGTTGGGATTACAGGCAGGAGCCACTGTGCCCAGCCAATATTTTATGCTTTGAAGGAACCAGTTTCCTTTTGAATTCTCATAATTGATGATTTGCTGTTTCTCACTTGGTTTAGTTGCAGAGCAAGAGCTGGCAAACCTGGAGAAGTGGAAGGAGCAGAACAGAGCTAAACCAATTCATCTGGTGCCACGGCGGCTAGGTAAGCAGGCACACCAGCTGCTGAATGGGAACACCACGGTGACTCATGGCTCCTCTAGCACCTTGCACTTGTCTGTCGTTGAATGTACATTATAGGTTGTTTGATCATTTAATGCAGGTATATTGTTTTTTCTGATTTTATGTGAGTAGCAAAGGTAGGGTGCCACCGTTTATGTGGGAACAAAGTGATGGCTTAATTGCCAAATAATTTAGAGCCTTTTGGATGACCGACTCTGAAGAAAGCTTACCTGGGGCACTGCACATGCCCTGTCATCGCACTAGTCAGGACGGGAGCCGATGCTGGCACAAGCATATTGATCATGGCAGTTAAATGTTAATGTGAAGAAAAGGAGTGGCGGGTCAATTCCAAAAGCACGATGAGAGTGAGCAAGGATCCCGGAGTGGGTATGAGAGAAGCGTCACCAGTGTTTTCCTTCTACAGATAGAGACCTCCGGGCCTCCAGAACAGCTGCTGCCTGTGTGATGAATTGTCTGGGCCACCTTTGCTTGTGTTTGAATCATTCAGAGGGGAAGCCACCTAAAGAGAATCATTCACAGCTTTTCTTCTCTTTTCCTGCAGCAGCTGAGAACATAAAGGGTTGGACATGTAGTTTCCACAGATCTAGTTAATACAAACATGTCTTGAGTCAGGACCCACTTACTGTTCTGATAGTATTAGAACAAAATTTCTCCCCCCAGGATTTAGGTACAAGTAAGCTAATTTGGAAATCATTTAATGAATGGGAATAATAGTATTGTTACCACCATCCTGCTGTATTTCATGAAAAGGTCTAATCTCAAGTGTCAAATTTATGATGGATGAGACAGACTTGAGGCGTACAATCAGAAAACAGCTTTAGTCCTTTCTAATGGGCCCCTCAAATCGGCTGTGAAGGACTAATCTTTCCCATGCTTTTTGCATAAAGTGAGAAATAAAAGCCGTTTGCTCTTTCTCAAACAATAGAGCTACTTAGTTAATTCTAGGTCTAAAACAGTCTCAATTCAGGAATGAATGTTCAGTTCTAAGTACTGGTCAAAATTCTGTTGCTGATGGAGATGAAAGCTTCCTCCCTGATCCAGCCTAGGCCTGTTTTAGGTAGGAAGCCAGCAAGTGAAACAGTGTGACTAGATTTTTCTCCATTGAGTACTCTGTTCCCAGATTCTGACCTTTCCAGGGTCAAAGGTGGAAGAAGGGATGAGAGGAATCAAGGGTCTGTAGCACAATGATTCTATTTCTTTGAGCCTAGGTGTATGCTGACTGCTTATTTTCCCTCCAGGGATCCATGAGTTTTTCAGCATTCCTCCCTCTCTGGCACACATCTCTCACCTGGATTTCCCTGATAGAGTTGATATACTTGCCCACTGGCAGTGCTTGGCTTCACTGTCGGCCCTTGGTAGACTCTTTGTAAGGCTCCAATGTTCTTGAGGTGGCCCTCAGAGGTGATTCCCTTTAAGATGGCTTTAGGTAGGCATTCTCTCTTGGACACTTGTGCATTCTTTCTTTCCATAAACTGTGAATATGGGCCAATGCAGCTACCTCTTCTTGAGGACCCATCTGAGTAGCCAACTGACAACAGCCTGATACCTAAAGGCTCTAACTTTTCTAGCTGTGGGTTCCCTAGGACCCTCATTCTCTTAGGAAATGCAGGTTGAGATCTCCAGGTGATTTTCATCAAACCTGTCTTGCTCATCCTTCACCCCCCTCAAAACATACATACATACACACGAGATAGAACTCAGAAAAATATCCTTCCTCAGATTTCTATCTCTCTTTGATCTATCCAACCTCTTTTATAGGCTGAAGGGAGGTGCTTGTTCAGGTTGCCCAAATTAGTTTTGAGTTACCTCCTTGCAGATCCCGCTCTGGGGCTATCACCTCCCTTTGAAATTTGCAGCAGTTGGCATGTATTATCTTGGAGCCTTAGCAGAAAATGAGTAGGAGTCTCATTCCAGCTTTCTGTTATATGAAGTATCTAGGAATAGGCAGATTTGTGTGTGTCGGAGGGGCTAGGGGTAGAAAACTTTGAGATGAGTTTGAACAAAACCTGCAAATGCTTAGATATCTGACTTACTTCATTTCATCTCATTCTCAATTCCTCTCCTCTCTTTGTCTACTTCTTAAATTATTGGAATTGTTGTAGGAAATACTAAAGGTTGATGTAACGTAAACTTTTTAGTAATGCTGTTTCAAAAGAAACATTCCCCCCCTCCCCCCAACTGAAGGGCCCAAATCAAATAGGCCCTGTATATCTTTTGGAACTCAGAAGAAAAAAACCGATGGTGTCTTTCTCAGGTCAATTATAAAAACTACAGTGAATGCAAATTGTTTTAATGCATCTTCTGTGAGAGTGAATCTTTTAGAGAACTGATACTTTTAATGACCAAGGCACCAGAGAATTATTTCAAAGGAACCTTTATAATATGCACACCCAGCTTGCATAAATACTGAGAAATCCCTAAATGGCAATTCTCAGATGAATGTCAAGCTGTGAGATTTCTGGCCCCCAATTATTTTAGGTTTAAGAGCAAGCAAATAATCTAACATCCATAGTTTTCTTCTGAGTATCTAAAGAAAGAGCAATAAATAGTATAGATTGATGATCAGTTACTAACTAGAATACTCCCATTGTATTTTTAGAATCTGGGTTATCAAGACTACATACTTGTCTAGTGGCAAGACCTTTGAGGGTTTCCTGATCCTTGCTGCTTGAACACAGGGCAATAGAGTTGGAAGAAGAAAAGCCTTTGAAGCACCAAAGGTCATCATCTTTGTTAGGTTCAGACATGACCATACTCAAACAGGAAGAATGTTCTAGAATTTTCAAGACAGGCACTATTTCTTAATGTTTAGCATGACCCTTCAGGTATGATTTCAATCTAGGTAAAACTTTAAGACCTACATGATTAAAAAATCTTAGCAGAATTTTTATTTTCTTTTAAGAATATGGCCTCATCTTTCTGTCCAGCTCTGATTCTCCTTTAAGTCATTCCCATTTCTCAAGGTCTTATTAAGAAAACTGGTTATGTTCTTACTTCCAGGGAGGGGTATGAAAATGTTAAAGAAACTCATGATGTAGACTTCTCGTGTATTAATTAGTCCTTGATGGCTGACATTTCGTCTTAATATTTGTGTTTCACCTTCATGGCTTTTTTCCCCCCTAAGGTGGAAGCCAGTCAGAAACTGAAGTCAGGGAGAAACAACAGCTTCAACTGATACAATCTAAATACCAGCAAAAGGTCAGAATTCATCTTTTTACCTTTAATTTTGGCAACCAATTTGAGTACCAGCTTCTTCAAGTAACCATGAAATAACACAGTAACTTTACCAAAAACACACAACTGTTAAACCAATTGCAGAAGGCAACTATCAAAATCAAAGACATCAGGAAGTAAGAAGTGAAGAGACTGATACCTTGAATTCTCATCCAGGCCATGTGTCTAGTCAGCATGACCTCCGATTCAGGGCATTGTTTTTCTAGTTTGACTTAACTATGTTTTAACTACAGTTTAACTCAACTGTGTTTGGAATGTTTTGGTTCCAAGAATATGGATTTGTTTACCCTATGCTAGTTGTGAAAGTAGTACAAAAAGGAGTTAAGACACCCAGTGATTTTTACAGTGAACACTATGAGTTTTATAATCAGGAAAAATTATCCTCTCTTTCTCCTCCCCAATATACACACATACACATGCACACAGCCATGCGCGTGCATGCACGCACACAACAAGGAGGAAACACAAACACAAAGAGAGACATGTCATGGGCAGGAGATGTAGCCTGGCCATTCTCTGTGCCAGTAACTTGGAGTAACAACCTGTAATCATGATGAGGTGTAGCACAAACTGTACTGTAATTTGCCTTTCATGGTAATGTTGTGTTCCAAAAGTTCAGTCCGAAAAAATGACAAGTGTTCTTTTTGTCCCCTGTAATCTCAATACAATTTAGCTAAAAAGAGAAGCATCTATAAGAATCAAGAAAGAAGCTGAAGAAGCAGAACTCCAAAAAATGAAGGCAATTCAGAGAGAGAAGGTAAGCAGGTGGAGGAGAAGCTCCTGTTTACTGAGGGCTTAGTATGTGCCAGGTTCTTTTCTAGACACTGTTCATATGTCAACTCATTTTATCCTCACGGCAACCTTATGAAGAACAGATTATCATCATTACCCAATTTTGCAAATGAGAACTTGCCCAAGAGTCCCAGCTAGTAAGTAGGAAAACTAAGATTCACATACAGGCCGACTGGCCTCAGGACTATGCTTAGTCACCACCCTGTCTCACCCCTTAGGCGAGTGATCAAAGTAGTTACTGCATATTTGGCCAGAAGGCAAAGCAACTGGTAACAGTAGCAATCCAGGGGTGTGCTGTTATACTTAAATCCAAACGAGCAGCTTTCCAGATTGAGGGTGAGTAGGAAAACATGCCTCTCTTATGGGTAAAGCAAAAAGCATGCATTTACACTTTAGCATTAGAGATGTGGTCTATTCTTTTTGTTGTTGTTGTTTTTGAGAAAGAAAGATTTATTGAGAGGACGAAAAAGGCTACCAGAGTGAAAGGGGACCCTAGGGGGTTGCCCAGAGATGTGATCTATTCTAAACCTCAACGTGATGTTTTAGTTTTGACACTCTTTCTGGGGCTTTGGGGAGAACTTTCCTAAAAACATTCATCTGCTAGAGAAGAAGAAAAAAATGTGGTGTTCGTTCTATCCTCACTCCACTCCTCCTACTCCCATTTTCCACAAAGTCCTAAGTTGTAGGTGTTAAGTGTTGGAGTTTTGGGGGCTGGGGGTTGACTTATGATATGGACCACCATGTATGACACATGCCGCAGGTACAAGTCAAAGAAACACAATTTCTTTTTCTGCTGTTTGTCTGCCTTTCTCTTCCTCTCTCCCTTCCTTTCTTTTTCTTTTAAAGATTAAGTGTTGGTCAAAAATGGAAACTTGTTACTAAGCAATCAATGCTTTTATCAGTTAGAGTTAGTGAAGCCAAAAGTTGATGGCTTGTGGAACACATGAGAGCAGGGGAGTCTCCCCCCTCCTGCGGAGATCTCATACTGGCTAGAAGGAGACTAGTCTTTCTTGGAAGCTGTCTGTTGTGCTGTGTGGCCTTGGTCAGGCCCCATCCTTCTCTGAAGCACCACCTCTTCTCCAAGTTAAAGAGCATCCTGTTGCTGTAGAGATGTAGGTTCTGGGAGTGGAGAGAAGACAACCGCAAATGAATAGCTGTGATAAAATGCTGGAGATTTATTATTTTTTTAAAAGAGCATAGAAACGTTGTTTACAAAACTTGACTCCACCATCAATTTCCAACTCATCGGCGATTACACTTTCATTGGGAAGATTTTTTTTTTTTTTTGAGTTGGAGTCTTACTCTGTCACCCAGACTGGAGTGCAGTGGCCACTCCTGGCCATTGCACCCTCGACCTGCTGGGCTCCAGCGAACCTTCCACCTCAGCCTTCCAAGTAACCGGAACTACAGGCGTGCGCTACCATGCCCGGCTAAGTTTTGATTTATTGTAGAGATGAGTTCTCGCAAAGTTGCCCAGGTGGGTCTCAGACCCGCAGGCTCAGGCAATCCACTCACCTCAGCCTTCCAAAGCGCAGGATTACAGGCTGAGCCATCGAACCTGGCTGAGTTGCTCCTTTTACAGAGCATGGTCTATCTGCATTTCAGATAGAAGAAAGAAAATTATCAAGTTGTCACCAGGAACTGAATTAAGAGATTGCAGGTCCTGAAGGATTATTGCATTGCAACCTCTCGTCCTAAAAGTCATTTATTAGTTGTCATTTAATACCCATAATTGGCTCCCATGTGGGTCATTTATAGCTCATTTCTTCATGGGTCAATAGTGTATACCATTCATAAATGTTAGTGGCTGAAACTGTTTTCTTTAACATCGAATATAAGCAGCATTTTCCCTTTACATCATATGATAACTGTAATGCTTATTAGCATTCATTTGCTGGAAAATGAGAGATGGAGAGAGTTGAGCTGCAACCCCTTCCCACTGAAAATGTGGCCCCTGATCAAACAGTGTTGACAGCACCTGGAGATTTGTTAGAAATGTGGAATGTGGAGCCCACCTCAAGCCTGCTGGATCAGAATCTGCATCTGAACAAGTTCCCCAGATGATTCCTGTACACGTAAATTTGGGGGAGCATTAATTTTAACAACCTTACAAAATAAGGCAGACTCACACTCTTCCTTCCACAGACCTGATTTCTCAGTCTGATTGGCCTGTATGGCCACCATAACCCCAGTCTTTCCCATTGTATATAAATCTGTGACTTTTCATAGTAAATATGAGCCTATTTAGTAGCTTGCGTCAGATAAAAGACAAATGGGCATTCGCCCTCTAGAAATAACATATTTCACATTGCCAGAGTGAAAATGGCCAAGGAAAGTGATAATGGCTGTGCTTATAGAGCACTTATTTTTTGAAATGCACACCAAACACATACAGACATCAGCCTACAAAACACTGCCTTCCTTCCCCCCAAAATGACCACTGCCCAGAAACTCTGAGCCAAGTAGACTCCAAGTGGCCTGTTGCCACCCAAGAGCCTTTAACTTTGACTCTGGTTTCCTCCCCTGCCCCAACTGCCCTTCCATTTTCCCTCTCCCAGAAGTCACCAGGGGACACTGGAGCTCATTCTGATTGGTCATTATCTATGTGTGTAACATTTAGTGAGGGGAGAGTAGACTGAATTCCTGGTCAGCATTTGTGGGTGTCCTCTGATCCTTCATAAACAGGAGGGCGTGAAAGTCAGCCATCTCTTTAGCATCCAGAAATGTCGGTGGGGTCCAGGAAGAGTTAATCCTATGCGTGAAGGAGGAAATTTGAAGAGGGCACTGGTATGCTTCAGTTAAACTCACATTCCCCCAGACTAGAATATGACATGGTTTGTATACTTCCAGTGGTGTGCTAGAGCTTCCTTGTACTGGATTGTGAGAATAGATTGTTACATTTTCAGGATTAAAAAAAAAGTTGGCTGCTTGAAACTGTGGTGAAAAATATTTACATCATGGGAATCAGTAAATGCTACTGATCAGTTTTCCCTCTCCTCCATGTTAGAGCTGGTTGTTGAATGTTGACTAGCACAACATGGCTTAGCACTAAATGAAAAAGATATTCTCTTATCTTCCCCTACCACCCATGTTCCAAAGTCAAGTCTCAGAGGGCTCAGGAGGGCAAAGATTTTGGGAAATATCTGGCATATTGTGTGTTTGATACTTGCTGGTTTAAAAATAGATTATAATTCATGTGGTGGGCAGAATAATGCCTTCCCACCTAACCTCCCAAAGCATCCACATTCTGCCTTTGGAACCCAGCGATATGTTACCTTGCATGCCAAAGGGGATTGAGTTCACAGATGGAATTAAGGTTGCTAATCAGCTGACTTTCAACTAGGACGGGTATCCTGCAATGTCAAGGTGGTCCTAGTATAATTACAAGAGTCTTTAAAATTGGAAGAGGGAGGCAGAAGAGAAAGAAAACAGATGATAGCAGGAGAAAGATTCAGCTCACTACTGCTGGCTTTTAAGATGGTGGAAGGGGCCACTAACCAAAGAATGTGAGAGACCTCTAGAAGCTGAAAAGGGCAAGGAAACAGGCTTTTTCCTGGAGACACCAGTAGGAACACAGCTCTGCTGAGGCCTTGATTTTAGCTAGTGAGACCCATTTTGTACTTCTGAACCCCAGAGCTGTAAAATAATACACTTGTGTTTTAAGCTACTAAGTTTGTGGTACTTTGTTACAGCAGCCATAAGAAACTAATACTACTCATGGGATTTTATAATGATGTTTAATTTCTCTTCCTAGAAATCTATAAAGCAGAGGCAGTGTCTCTAAAATATTAGAGAATTAGAGTTAAAGAGATTTGTTTAAAGGAAAAGGCAGTGTATGATATACAACCTCTTATAAGGAAGGCAAAGTGCTGGGATTACAGGTGTGAGCTACCACACCCGGTCTAACCGCTCATCTAAAAAAAGATTTTCTCTATCGTGGATTGATTTCAGCTCCTCTATCCCAAGCATCATGGTTTAACTTTTTGAAAGACTTCTCTGCCACATTGGATTCCCAATTGTCAGTCTGTGGACTGATTTTTTAATAATCACCTGAACTGAAGAATCTCTATTTTAAAAAATATTCCCCAGGGGCTGCTGAGCTCACCTAGCTCCTGGACTCACCTTCTCTGATTCCTCTACACGTTCATTGGTGGGCTGAGTTTAACTTTTGTCTCTAATACGTCTCTGGCTCTGATCCAGCTAAGATCACCAGCAGTGTTCTTAACTGAAAAATGGAGACTCTTCAATTCCTAGCTTATTTAAACTCTTTGTAAGATTAATATTAAGTACTCTGTCCTTCAAATCCTCCCCTCTGGATTTCCTTGGTACTCTTTTCTTCTACTTGTTTTTCCACTATCAATGTTCAACAGATCTCATCCACTGGTCTCTTCTGATATTTCTGGGCCTCTGACCCCAGCCCTAGGTGAAAACTTCTACATAAGGACTTAGTTATTGTTTATGCTGATGATTTTTAAAATTCATATCTTCAGGCCAGACCACATTTCTAAATCCCAGAACCATATATTTTGCTGCATGTTTGATGTTTATTCCTGGATATTTACAAGTATGCCTCAAAGTCAATAAATTCAAAATTGAACTCATTCATTCTGATGCTTTAAGTGATCGTCACTGTATACTTTTCCAACTTTTCCTACTCATCCTGTATCCATATAGTCATACCTCCTATTATTTCTGCCCCCTAAATTTTTTTGGAGTCTGTCCTTCCTTCTCTATCTCTGCTGCCTTACTGTGGGACTCATAATTTATGTCCTGGATGGCTGCAAGAACCACCCCAGGGGTTTTCTTATAGTTATGGCCCTTGCTGTAACTTATCCTACATGTTGCTATCAGAAAGAATTCCTTACTATTCCGCTTAAGATAACATAATGGCTTATCATTGCCTTTCATGAAATATAAGCTCCTTTACTTGGCATATACATTCTTTTATTTTTTATTTATTTTTGAATTGGTGTTTCACTCTGTTGCCCAAGCTGGAGTGCAGTGGCACAATCACAGATCACTATAGCCTTGACCTCCTGGGCTCAGGTGATCCTTTTGCCTCAGTCTCCCAAGTAGCTGGGACTATAGGCATGTACCACCACACCTGGCTAATTTTTCTTTTTTGTAGAGATGAGGTCTTGCTGTGTTACCCAGGTTGATCTCGAATTCCTGGGCTCAACTGATCCTCCTGCCTTGGCCTCCTAGAGTGCTGGGATTATAGGTGTGACCCAATGTGACTGGCCATAAAATTTTTTTTTTAATTAACCATATTTTTTTAATTTTAAAGATGTGCGGTACAATTCACGATTAGATATACATGTGGTCATTGTACAGGTAAAGTTTGGGCCTCCCTTTGGTCCCCATTTCACCTGGTTTGAGATCAGGTACTCTTATTGATGTTCTGGGCCCACCTGCCACCTCCCCCCACAGCAGTTTTCCACTACTGCCAATCCCTTTCTTATAGTATTATGGTAAATGTTTAGGGTCTACTTTTATAATTTTCCATTCTTATTTTCTTGGCCTTATCTTGCACATATCTCTCTAGGCACACTGTTAAATTTATCTATGATTTCCCACAGGAGCTGGATTAAAAAAAAAAGCATCCACGAGCTTCTTGAGGTTTCCTAAACTGGTACATTCTCTTGTACCGTTGTATATTGAAAACACTACAAGTTCTGGGAATGGCATTTTCCTCTCCAGGGTCACTACTAGCCCAGCATTGCCTTTGTGCAAATTAGAAACCAATTCTCTATGTAGTCAGTCAATTCTGTGGGTGCTCCAACAGGTGGTAGATGGTACCTTTGTGAGAAACAGAAAAAGACACCTCTGTGCTGAAGCAGCCACATGCTGGGGTGCAAGCCTTGGTGAGCTGAACAATGGCTCTATTTTGCCTTTCTGACCGCTCTGCTGGGACACCCTGGCCTGAGCAACCCATGAAATGAAATGCAGTAATCCTGTTCATACTGCCTCTTTCTTTTAAAAAACTCCTGCTTGTTAAGATTGGTCTTTATCTAGAATTTCTCTCATTAGGTCCATAATTGTTTATACTTTCATTTGATCTTCAGCCCTTTGGGAAATATGAAGAAAGCTATGTGTCCATACTCACAGAAAGAAGCAGAGTCCTAATAAGCAGCTTATCCATGAGCCCGAGGTTAGAAACCACATTCCCAGTGTTGTTTAACTACTTGGCTCTCGCACTGAGGACTGATTGAATATTTGTGACACTTTTGAGAGCATTTCCTAACAAGCCACTTCTGTGCTTTATCTGTGTTCATATCACGTTATTTGCAAACTACTCTCCCCTAACGTAGTTAACACACTGCCATCATTGCTTTCTTATCTGTGTCCCCAGCTAGTCTGAAATTTTCCAGAATTGACACTGCTTTGTTTCCAACTGTATTCCCAGCATCTAACATAGTAGCAATCATATAATAGGCATTTGATAAATGTTTGTTGAACAAATGAGATTCAGCAATATTAAATGATTTGTTTAAGGTCACTCAGTCAGTGATGGTGGACTTGGAGCTAATTTCTTATTTTCTTAATTTGTATCTCATGTTCTTAGATAGATTTCATTCTGCATTTGTACATATGTGTAAGTACATTTGGATGACTCCTTAACTTGCTGTTAAATGGAAGAAAACAAAATTTGACTAAATGTAAGAATTTGGGTTAGCATACCAAAATAGGTACCCATGTTGGTAGGTATTGAAAGTCACTTCAGCCAGACTCAGTGACTCAGCCTGTAATCCTGTGCTTTGGGAGGCTGAGGTGAGTGGATTGCCTGAACCCGCGGGTTCGAGACCCGCCTGGGCAACTTGGCGAGACCTCATCTCTACAATATATCAAAAAGTCAGCCGGACATGGTAGCGCATGCCTGTAATTTCAGCTACTAGGAAGGCTGAGGCAGAAGGATCGCCAGAGCCCAGCAGGTCGAGGCCGCGGTGGCCGGGAGTGGCCACTGCACTCCAGTCGGGGCGACAGAGTGAGACTCCAACTCAAAAAAAAAAAAAATTAAATTAAATTAAATTAAAAAAAAAAGAAAAAGAAAGTCATTTCTCAACCACGCTGGTATTTTGCAAGACATTTCTTCATCGACTTTGTGTGGCTTTCTCACACAAAGTTCTTTAAGTAGCATTCCTGATAACTGGTTTAATCGACACCTGCTGCTCCCTTGCTGTCTTTCACCCTTTCGATACCCCCTTCACCACCTGCACCCTGGGATGCAGAGAACTCATCACAGTTGAACACTTTTGGTCCCACGAGTCAGGATTTTTTTTGAAGATTAGAATCATGTATGCTTGGTTTTATAATTTTCCTTTAGTTTGCTTCCTAGAATTCTGTGTTTCATTAATAATCCAGTTGCCTGTGTTATAATTGATTCTCTCTGACTCTAGCAAATTTCCTTTATTTTTTTTCTGAAACTGAAATCATCATCCATTTTGCCATTCAAAATGGGACTAGTAAATTAGTTCTGGATGAATGAAGACTTTCATGGAAATGAATAATATGAACAGTTTTTTCCCCCTCCTTTGAAAGATGGAGCCAAACTTATGTTTGGGTTTGAAAGTGATGATTTCCATTATTCCCTTTCCACAGGTCCTCCTCTGGGCAAATCCATTTTTTTTTTTTTTTTTTTATTGAAGCAAACTCAGCTGCTTGCCATCTCTTTTGGATTCATTTGAAACTTCATGTTTCCCCTGTGTTGTAGAACGTGTTTCAACTCCCCATTAAATTTGTTGTCCAGGAATTTTACTTGTTTTTCATAGGCAGGTTTTTAAAAAGTGACAGTGTGTCATGGTGAGCAAAAAGCAAGTGTAACTGGGTTATTTAAATTGGATTAAAATAAGCCAGAGCCATGGTGACAGTAATATCAAATATGAAACCCTTTGTCTCTAGGCTCTCCAAACAGCTAATTAAAAAACAAAAAAAAAACCTCTTTTCTATTCAAGTGGATGGCTTTTTTCTTTTTTTTTTTTAATGACATATGCTGTTCAGTCCCTCAACAACTTTAAGCATCCGATTCTAAGTCAGAAGGGAGTTGGTTTGGCTTATTGAAGATCTTTTCCTGAATATTTTATTAGAATGTGGATATATATATATATATATATATATGAATTTTGTATAAACTATTTAACCATTTATTATACTTTTAATTTAACATACTTGGTATGGAAATTTCATGTTTTCATTAAAACATTTTGAAAGTACTGTTTACAAAAGAAGTGTTGCTATACATTTGAACTAAAGAATATAAATGTGAACTGTAGATTCTGTGATTACGCCAATGAAGTTGGCAGAGGGGCACTATGGAAAGAACTTGGAGCTCCCGGCTTTCAATGTAGTGACCACGTCTGGTAAGAACCATCTTGCAGCCTTGGCAGGGTACCATATGGAACTACTCAGGCTGCTTGAACCTAAAGATTTTGGACCTTGTGTAACTTTACATCATGATTCTGCTTAAAGCTTCCTTAATAGGTTACATTTTGATGTTTTCAATTTCAGAGCAATAAGTTGGAGGAGAAAAGACGACTTCAAGAAAACCTCAGAAGAGAAGCATTTAGAGAGCATCACCAATAGTAAGTTTATGTTTTCAGAACGTTGTACCTTTATGGGCATGTTGTTCATACAGCTTTTAAATTCAGGTGATGGTAACTTTTCAAAACATCCGGCATTGAATTGTTGGCTGTAATTATTAATTATGTATTTGAACTCTGTCATCATGTAAGTGAGGATCTAAGGCTGGAGACATCTGTACTCACCAAAGTATTGTTTAGTAGTCAACTGATTAGCAATGATGTTACTAAATTTGAGGAATTCCCCATCAAAAATAACTCAGAAGGCTTGATTCTTTGGTGCTCCAGAGTACTTCTGATTATGTTGATTCCTAAGTTACTAATATAAGGAAGAAGGTGTTTGAAATACCCAAGCATAGTCTCAACTAGGGATATATCCAATGGGTTTGGGACTATTATACGCTTGTGTTTTTTCTAGATAAGAATTGAGGAATCATTTAGCAGGTATTGGCAAAACTTGCAATGTGTGGTCATATACCAATGTAATTTTTCCAGTATGATTTGTGAATAACAGTAGTTAATATGTGTAGGGAAACTGTAACATACTTTATAATGTAGATAATCTCTGTTATGTAGGATTTAAAGATAAGCTCACGTCCTAACTCTTGGTATCTAGATTTCCTGCACACTAATTGAAAGAAGATAAAAACAAAGAACAATATTTCTGGCCCTATGATAATTCTAAATGTGGTAGAATTAGAACCATGCAGATATGAATTCAAAGTCCTAGCTCCCTGTGAAACTTCTTTGAACTTTACTGTTAAAAAAGAAATTAAAAATAGAAACGATAAGATATATCTTATAGGCTTCAGCAATAACTTTTAAAAAATCTTATGTAAATAACACAGGGACTTGAAATGATACTTCTTACAGAGGTCATTATTGAATGAGATAATACACATTTTCTTTTATAGAGACTGTATACAAATTTCTGGTCCTACCAGCACTAGTAACTGGTCTCTCACTTTCCTTCTTTTGTTTTTTGTTTTTTTGAGTTAGAGCCTCACTTTGTCACCCAGGCTGGAGTACAGTGGCACACTCACGGCCACCCTAGTGTCAACCTGCTGGGCTCCAGCGATCCTTCCGCCTCAGCCTTCCAAGTAGCTGGAACTACAGACGCGTGCTACCATGCCCAGCTAATTTTTGATTATTGTAAAGACAAGATCTCGCCAAGTTTCTCGGGTTGGTCTCAAACCTGTAGGCTCAGACAATCCACTCACCTCAGCCTCCCAAAGTGCTGGGATTACAGGCTGAGCCACCGAGTCTGGCATCTCACTTTCTGTCTTTCTTTCTTTTTTTTTTTAAGTGAGAAAGAAGGATTTATTGAGGACAGAAAAGCTCCCACAGTGGGAGGGGGCCCGAAGGGGTTGCCCAGCATCTCATTTTCATATGAAATTTCCATTGCCTGCCTCCTGTTCTCTCTCCCCATTGTTGTCCCTCATTTATAGAATTTAAGATCACACTGATGTAGGGATAAGCATATGTGTGACACCCTAGAACACAATCTTTCTCTAGACATAGTACCCTCTGGCTTTTCATACCACTGACATTTTTCTGCCTGTGTCATAAGCAGCTCCTTCTTGCTTTAAGTCTCAGAGGAAGGAACGGAAAAGAAGTTTTCCAACTCTCAACTTTACTACTTAGCAAGTTAGCTACTTGGTTTCTGTTACCCAGGCCAGAAAATGGATGGGAGATGGGACTGGATAGGGATGGAAGTGTTGAGTGATGCCATCCTCCTTAGCGAAAACACTGCCATTTTAGTTACAGAATCCATAGCCTGTCTCTCTCTACTCTTCTAAGGCTGGCATAGGGTGTAAGAAAGTTGATGGGCAGCTACATACCAGGAGAATTTGACTATCTGGAAGAAAGAAATGGCGGAGGGAGGTACTAGTTAAGGATGTTAATGTGTCATTTCCTCCCTCTTCAGGGATAGAGAAATAATGAGAATGTATTGCTAGGCTCAGTCTGAAGAATTGAGAAAGATAACGGACTGGCTGGGGGCACTAGTAGCCTAGAGTTTATTCTGTGGCATTCTAGCTTTACATTAGAAGAGGAAATACCTACTTACCCGTGAGGGGTCTTAGGTAGAGGACAGTGGAGTCGAACAGGTTCATTCTCTGGAGAGTTCTAAACATGGCAAGGTGAAGGATGAAAGATTCTTGGAGTTTTAAAAGACGTTAGAAGTAGTGCTGCTTTCTTTCATAGTCTTCCAGTTTCTCAAGTTTGTGTTTTACTAAATACAAAAGATCAATCACCCCTTTCTTACCCGGAAAAAAAAAAAAAATTGCCCTCAGCCACCTGGCGCACTATCAGTGTAGTTGAATTCAATTACATGCACATTTTATTCCGGCTCGTTCTTCTGCTTATCGTGAAAGTCCCAGTTAACCAGGAAAAAGAGAAGTTGACTAAAAATGAGAAGTTTCTCAAATTGATTTTTAAAGCATATTGAGAAACATAAGAAAAGGTATATGCATGAGTTTCTTTTTTTTTAATTTTAAAAGAATATTGTGTTTTGAATTACTTTTGCAGTTAAAAGACCAATAGCTCATGAAATGAGTGACCATTATATAGCTAGACATATAATAGGGACTTCTTAGAAAAGATGGGTCCTCTGTATTACAAGTCTTTATCACACCTTCTTAGAATCAGTTTGTGGTGGAGAAAATGTCTGGGAAAGCTGTCAGGATTTTTAACAGCACAAAGCGTTCACCAGACCCACCAGACTGCCTACCCCCACCCTCAGTTAGATTTTCCTGAAGCTGTCAAATGAAGGAACACAAAATAGAAACATAAATAAGACATTCTTTCAAACTAGTCAGTACCTTGCTAGTTTCCGCATGCTGTGATATGTGGTTCAAACTGTAAGCCAGGAACGATTTTTTAAAGTTTTTTTTTATTTTTTGTAGAGAAGGGCAACCGTGGACTTGAGCAGACTACAAATCCAAGTTGCTGGAGAAAATGCTTATGATAGCCACCTGGGGTTTCACCATGAGAATCTTAATGTGCTCTTTCTTAGCACCTTGTTCCTGACTTCGTTCATTTGCTTCTGATTATTTTTAGTGTTGTCAATTATTTAGCTAACAGGCAGAAAACTAGGCTTTTATTGACATCCAAAGGGACTCTCCTGAGTGTAATAATGAAGGCAGTTTATTGAATGCCTGTGAGGTTGCTTTCTAATTGTACGCATTAATCTGCCCATGCAAGCTGGCTGAAAATACACAAGCAGATTGCACATGCAGATGGAGCACACAGGATGGTTTTTATGAAAAGACCTCTGGAATGTACTTCTGCGGTACTGAATGACTGTGACTGTTTCAATGCACGGCTGATAGCAGAACAGATTAATGATGCATTAAGCCTGTTACTCCGGCTGGGGACGGACTCCAATTTCACAATTTAGAATTAGTTCTAGGATTCTTGAGCCTGAAAGTAGAGGGTAGAAATGGTCATTTAACCTTGGTGTAGTTCTCACCATTACTTTTGGCCTTGGTTATTATTTACTACTTATAAAACTTGTAGGATGACCTCATTATTACTGGTAGATGGAAGATCGGAAGCAATAGTGAACCTTTTTAAAAAATCATAAATCGGATATTGTGCACTTAGTTATTTAAAACATTGGATAAAATAATGCCCAGCATTTTAAATTTTAAATGGTAATTGATGGGGGAGTGAGGTTATCTTTCTCATTGTGTGTTTTTTGGATGAATGTGGAGACAGATTTGAATTTTGAATCCATTTAACCAGTGAGGAGGCTGGAGAAGGATGTGAGTGAGGTGGAACGCATGCATTTTGTATAAGGGTGCTAAGAAAAGGCATTCTTGGGCAACCCCCTTGGATCCCCACTCACAGTGGGAGCTTTTCTGTCCTCTCAATAACTCCTGCTTTCTAAAAGAAAAAAGAAAAGGCATTATTTTATAGATTTTCTGTAGATATAAGAATTGGCTATACTTTGAACATTTAAAATTTTAGTTCATGTCTAGTAACCATTTAGAATAATAGATTATACATTGAATATAGGATTAAACAGTACAAAGTGCTTGGTTATTTTAATCAAATAAAGTAGTTACAACCTGTGGAGTGTAATTTTGAACCTGTAGAGTGTCAGAAACAGTATTAGGCATATTTGATATAGTTTAATTTAATTTTTAGGCCAACCCTATTTAGAATATATCATTCCCGTTTTATAGATGGAGGCTTGGGTCATTAAAAGTTTAAGTCACAGAGACAAGTGATGCAGTCACTAGGGGTTAGGGAAAATAGTTAAGTTAGAGGCATGGTGTATAACTCTGAAGGTCAGGAATATCTGAGGGGGTGGGGTGAGCACTGTAGCAATACAGGGTGCTTGTGCAAAGGGCCACTGAAGACGGTGGTTCAGCTGAAAGAAAGACTTGGGCAAAGTTGACTTCTGTTTCTTCCTACCAAGATTTAAATTTTGACTAGAGTAGGCAAAAACAAAAACAACAAACAAACACAAAGGCCCCCTCCCCCCCCCAAAAAAAACCCCAAAAAGGCTTAGGAGATACATCTGCTTTCTCTCCGATTAGCATATGTAAATAACTTCCTCCCTCCCCCCACCCCCAACAAGGGGTCACTAGGTTAGTACCATAATTAAACTTATTGTAGGGTAGCTGAACTTTTGTGACCTCTCCCAGCTGTATTCTATTCCTAGGTGCAGTTTCCAACATTGTTTCTAGGAGAGGGGAAGAGAGGTTCCATTCTGAAAACCTCAGCTGGAAAAGCTCCTGGAACCATGCCCATTCCAAGACAGAGCCTGTTTCTGAGCTACTGCACACCACCTTGAGCTCAGCCTGTCAACTACAATATTGGGAAGTTTTCTTCATTTCTGCCATCGGAACCATGCATCTCTTTTACTTCCATTTGAATAATACTGTGATTAGGTCCTAGGGGGCACATCTTTATCTATTTTAGTTTTCTGGAGCTGAGAATCCAGGCAGGTTTGCTGAATATGCACACTTAGGCCCCAAGTTTGCCTTCCAATA